AAGAAAAAGCATGGTCCGATTCGCCTGCGCATAGCGCGTAAACGAATTGTGGGAAATATGCCGACGGGTCGAGTAGCTGGTCCTAGCAGAGTACTTGTTTTAAAAAACCTAAGAATACAGTTGATGAGCATTTCAAAATTACGGTCGTTGGAAGAGAAAAATTGACTTATATTGATTTTTTAAGATCTCGCACGGAAGTGATGAAGAAGGAAAGCACGAAACTGAATTGCCGAAGAAAAGTGGTCAAGAGCGTAAACCGAAACCAAAAGCTTGTCAAATAGCGAAGAACGATATTGAGAAGGATGAGCAGAGTGGAAATAGTGACGAAGTAAGTACATAGCTAGTGTTGTATGGCTGAATGCTGTTTAGGTTATGTGGAATTTCAATTTTTTATTTTTCAGGCTAAAGATGGTCGTAAACAGCGTCCTTCACGTCAACGACGTAAACCAAATTGGATTGATGAGAACTATGTTACTGGTTTTAAGTTAGTATTCTTTCACAAGCATTATTTTTTTACAGTTCATTAGTCATTTGTTATTGTAAACATATGTTATTTATCATGAGTTACTGGAATAAAATAAGTGGTGATGTTTTTATTTTTCATAACTTCATATCCATTTATGAAGTTTAGAAATAAACGTGCCCGTCGCGAAGATGATGGTGTAGATTCGGAATGTGCGCAACCAAAGAGACAAAGTCGACCATCGTCAAGGATTGAACAGAGTCGATCGCCATCGAGGAATGAATCAAAATGTGCTAGAAATGGAGGTAATCAACGATCAACATCTGTTGAACCTTCTAGTACCATTCCTTATGTTCAATCGGAAGCAAGCAGGGACGAAACGTCGAACTCATCAACTCGTGCACTACATCGAAGCATATAGTTAGTTTTCATGCATCATAATAAAGTTTTTCCTCTCTCTTATGCTCTCAGTGATCTCAAACAAATCTATAAAAAGTTGCATTTATTTGTTATAGCAATGTTGTGACTGGTAACCACGAACTGGATGGTAGTGCAGCACGATCGCCAATTGCTTTATCTTCAGCTGGACCCTCTTCAACTGGTGCAGAAAGTACCAGAGATATAATGGTAATGCTTTCGTGATCAGATGTGGCTAGTAATGTAATGATAATATTTTCTGCCATAAACATGTTTTATCAAGTTGTTGTTGGCATTTTATGATAACTTCAAGTTTCAGACCAAGAAAACCTGTCGTTTACAGTATACTCCACGAGCACGAAGAATGAAATATGGAGATGATTTGTTATCCAACATCAGTTAGTCATATTTTTTGCTGAATTTAAAT